TGGAGACAGCTGGTGTTTGGAGTGTGCCTCTGCCTCCATCGCAGTGAGACAGTCCTTCCTGGGAAGCCTGGTTTACCCCGGGGAGCTCTGTGAGAGAGAAAAACGGAATAAAATATTTAAAGGAAATAAAACCAGAAAACCAATCCCAAAGCTTCACTGGGCTGGAATAATGCATGAAGGCAGTGCTTAGGGAATTATGAATGGAACAGAGCTGTCGCTGTGCTGTCCCAGCCCTGAGCAGAAGGAGGTTGGGTGGTGTTTGATGTGGGCTTTAAAGAATAACAATAATTCCCAGCAGGAGCTGGAGGGTACTCAGAGCCCCACGGGTCTCAGCATCCTCCCCATTCCCATTCCGAGGATTCTGTAGGAATTCCTCCTTCTCACGGAGGAAAGGGCTTCCTGAGTGTCTCTTGTGTTTCAGAGCTGTTTGGCGATGCTTGTGCAGTGCTCTCCCCATGCAGAGTTTGTCCAAGTTTTGGGAATGGGGTTGCAGCGTGGTGGGAGGTGCCAGCAGACCCTTGGTGCTGCCCAGGTTTGCTGTCAGGAGCCAGAACAGCAAAGGGATGTGGGCAGAGAATTGCCAGGGAGAAGATTTTTCAGCAGCCTTTGGGAGGGGATGAGCAGAGCAGTATTTGCTGTGTCCAGCCCAGAGAGGAGGAGGAGGAGGAAGAGGAGGAGGAGGTTGTGGTGGTTGCAACGTGATAAAAGCTTGAGCAAGACTGGAGGTTGGGAAATTCCACAAAAACCATTTTGCCAGGGTAGAACAGCAGGAACGTGCCTTGTCCAAAATCCCAAGCAGGTAAGAGGGGCTGGGGGGCTGACAGGGCATGTTCTCACATGGATGCTGTGGATCTGTTTCCAGCAGCATCCTTGGGTACTTCTGCTCTGGATGGGCATCCTGAGGAGATGCCCGAGGGAAAGGACGTGCCCAGGAAGGGGCAGGACTGGAAGGAGCAGGGTGGGAGCAGCGTGGCAGCTCTGAGAGGAGGTTGTTGCTCTCCCAGATCCCTGCTGAGCCGGTGGGAGGAGGTGACAGGGCTGTGGGCAGGGGGGCACTTTGAGGGGCTGGGTTAGAAAGGCAGGAGAGGGACAAACAGTTGAGGGGGGACCAGGAGACAGGGCACCAGCCTGACCCCCCTGTCACAGGGACTGGTGGCTCCAGCCACACTGTCACCTTTTCCAGCATAGATCCCTTTCTGTGCCTTGATTTCTCCTTTAAGATCAGCTGATGCCTTCTGGAGCTGCCAGGAGCCTCTCGTGGGGGAATGGGGGGAGCTCTGTGCAGTGCAAAGGACCCAAAATCTTCTGTACAGAACATGAAACATCGCTCCAGGGAAACACGTGGAGCTTCCTGGTAAAAACACACCGTGCTCGTGCCCACCTCCATCCCCGAGCACATATCCCATGGGAGCACAGGGTGCTTTTGCCAGGCCAGGAGTTCCTTTCAGGAGAAATTAAAGTGTCCTTGCTCACCAGGTTTGTCCTGGAGAGATCCCAGCCGGCAGCACTGGGCTGGTGCTGGCATGTGGATGTCCTGTGTCCATCCTCTGCCCTGGCTGCAGCACCAAACCTCATGATCTGCTCCAGGGGAGTGGATATGGATCTGTGAGGTTTGGTGCTGTGCCTGTGAGCAGAAGGGGAGGGTGCTCCTGGGAAGAAGGGATGGGTGCTCTGGGGAAAGATCAGGGAAGAAGGGGATGAGTGCTTCAGGCAAGGGAGGAGTGCTAGGGGAAGAAAGGATGGGTGTTCCACAGTGAAGGAATGGGTGCTGTAGGGAAGGGATGGGTTCTCCTAGGAAGAGGGGGTGGGTGCTCCAGTAAAGGAAAGGGTACTCTGGGGAAGGAATGGGTGCTCTGGGGAAGGAATGGGTGCTCCAGGGAAGGGAAAGGTGCTCCTAGGAAGAAGGGCCGGGAGCTGGGAGCTCTGGGGCCGGCTGGCGCGTGCAGTTCCTGTGCAGCCGCCTCTGATCCGATTATGTAAATGGCCCCAGAGCCGCGGGGAGCACAGCAAGCACAGGAAATAAATAAATAGAGATGGAAATGCAAGAGCTTTGCTGCGAAGGTGACCTTCCCTCTGCGATCTGGGTGCTGCCACGGCTGGCACCGGGTGCTCCTCTCCAGAGGCTGGGAGCATCACCTGGGCGGGTGGTGCTGGGAGTGATGGGGAAAGGTTTGGGCAGAGGCAGAGCGGGGTGTGCTGGGCTGTTGTGTTACAGGTGAGGATTTCAGACATGCTGGATTTCAGACTGGCTGTTGCAGTGCTTAGAATGAAGCCCAGAGCTCTCTGAGCCTCCTGTTGGCTCTGCTCCCTGTTGGAATCTCACCAGGCAGAGTCCAGGCTCGCTGGGATGGAGGAGCCCGGTGTCAGCAGGGCTGGGCAGCAGACACGGAAAGCCAAGGCACAATCTGCCACGGGGGAGGAGTGGCAGATGTGTAAAAATAAGAAGCAACAAATCAGCAGGATGAGAGGCCCAGAGGATCCAGAGCAGTGCGCTGAGTTGTGTAGACTCATCCAAGAGTGGGGAAAGCTCCGTCTCATCATTCAGCAGGAGACAGCAGGCAGGAGGGATGTGTGGATGCTCTGAGGAAGCCAGTTTGGGCGTTGGGAAAAGCTCACAGGGCTGTGGGTGGTGATGGAAATAAGTTTTTAATGGGAATGGGGATGCTACGGCAGAGCTTTGTGCTTCCTCAAGGAACGGGAGCGTGGAGGGCAGAGGGCTTGGGCTTGCCTGTGTCATGCCTGGATTGGTTTGTGTTTTCTCTTGAGGTTTGGAGGAGCAGAGGTGCAGGAAGGCTCTTCCAGGCCAGTGCACCAAAGGGAAGGGTGGGAGGAGCAGGAGTGTGGTGCTGGGTGGGAGATGCTGCTCCATCAGGATTTGGTAAGAAGGGATCACCTGGAGCAGGCAGTCCCAAGAACAAAGGACTCACGTGCTCTTGAGAGTCACTGCTGGCCTCCCCAGCCTGCCCTGCAGGAATGCCAGTACGTGCTTTGAGGCAGGCTGATTTCCCATCCAGCTTTTCCTTTCCCATGGGAATGAACCTGTCTGGAGCAGCAGCACCTGAGACATCAGCACAGAGCACCTTCCATCCTTCAGGCCTGCCAGGAGGGCTTCCAAGAATGTGAAACACAGAGCTGGAGCCAGAGTGAGGTGGACAACAGCATGTGCTGCCTCTCTTCCAGGAAAAGGCCCCCAGGCTGTCAGTTTAAGCCCCTCCAGGACACCCAACAGCATCCCAGAGGCTGCATCCTCCAGTCCCAGCAGGATTTCTCCCTGTGGATCCCTCCAGGGCTGTGCTCTGGCTCAGCGGCACTTTTGGGGTGGCTCTGTGCCATCTGCCAGTGGTTCAAGGAACCTCTGGCCTCTCCCTGCAGCCACACTGGACTTTTTGGGGACTCTGAGTGACATCTGCCTGGTGGAGTTGGTTTATCTGGAGCCCTTTGGGTGCCTGTCCTGGAATGAGCTGCCTGGGCACAAGATGTGCTTCCCCAGAGCTGCTCCTCTGCCTGCAGCTTCCCTGTGGAGCACTGAGCCCCCTCTGCCCCATGGGGATGCTGCTGTGATTGATCCATACTCCCCAAAGTGTTTCCATATTCACTCAGGTGATGCTGAGTACCTGCTCTGAGCAGCCTCAGGTTGCCCAGCACAGCCTTCAGCCCGGTGTGTGAGTTCTGGGTTTATCCAGTGGTAGATGATGGATACACCCTGTGAGTGTGTCTGTGTCTGCTTGGGAAACTGGGGGACACAGAGTCCCTGGGATCCCCTTGCTGGAGTGACTGTGTGGCCAGGGTGGTGCTGTTGGTCCATACCTTGGACATGTCGCTGTGCTGAGCTGCTTCCCCGTGTGGATGGACATATGGTCTGTCCCTTGGGGTCCCCAAACTCATCATGGCACAGGCAGAATGATGGAACTGACATCCTCCATCTGGGCAGCAGGGAGGGACCAGCAGCCTGCTGGGCTGCTCCCAGTTCACCCCAGTACAGCCAGTGGGCTGGAGGAGCTCTCTCTGTGCATTCAGGGGTTAATTTCAGCACTGCAGTGACAAAACTCCATCTTTAACCCCTGGATTTGCTTCTTCAGGGCAGGGATTCCCTCTGTGACCCCAGGCAGCTGCTCTGTTGTGCAGAGCCCCAGCCAAACCCCACGGGGGGCCAGGGCCTGTCCCCTGTGCCCGTGGGA